TCAAGTGATCCACCTGCCTCGGCCTCCCAAAGTGCTGATTACAGGCATGAGCCACCGCACCTGGCCCTGCTTTTTCATCTATCAAAATCAGCTATTCTCTCTGCCATTGATTTTAAACACAACTTATATCCATTGCAAGAAACACTTTTTTGCAAGGCCTTGGCAAGCACACTCACTACTCACCATAACCTCGGAATTTACCAAGAGCTTTCATGTTCATGCTCTCCCAGCAACGTACGGAAATACAATGGAAGAGGGGGGCAATTGGACCCCCAGAAAAATATATTCTTATGTCACTGTCCAAAACCAATCAAATTAGAAAGAGAGCCCTTGAACATAATAATGGATTCCAGAGAGAAAGAACAAGAAGATACAAAAGTAGAAACCCCAGAAAGACAGTGTATTTCCTATTTAAAAATCACAATCGCTTTTCATATAATGTACACAGCATTTGAAAGCCTATTATTAGTCTTTCTTATTTCAGTCAACTGATATAGGCTGTCCCCATGTGGTTGCTGACTTCAGCCACATGACAGCAGCATCTCCAATTCTGTGTTAAGGTGCTGAGTACGGCATGCGGCTCACCAGCTTTTCCATAATCAAACAGCCAGGACATATGAAAAGTTCGCAGAAATCTGAGCAACACGTAAGAATTCAATATTACGGTGTATAAGGAATACGCATGTAGAATTCATGAGAAAAAAATCTTTCTCAAACAGGGTTTAGTTTCTATCAGGATGTTTAAGTACAATGCCATGGGTACCTAAATGCTAACACCCATCCTTTGAGGTGATGAGGAGTTTCTTTAATGATCAGCAATGGTGCCAGACAAACCTAATCAAAATTTTCTTGTGTAAAAATGAAAGAAGATGGCATTCTCAAATATCTTGCTTCAACTGTTTCCCTCTGCTAATTAAAAAAAAAATACTTTTTATTTTGTCAAATCAAAAAAGATCCAAGAAAACTGGGTTATTAGGTCAAATGTTCTCTTCAAAAGGTCAGAAGGAAAGTGTTTCCACCTCAGGTACAGAGATTAAAGTTAAAATTGTTTGACTTTTTAAAAAAATGTGTAAAGTTTACATCCCAGAATAGACCTTGCAAGGGCATAAGAACAAACATCAACCAGGCAGCAGGAACAAAACTACTTCCCTTCACTTATTCATAGCACACAGAGAGCAGAATAAAATCCAGCTGTCTGTGTTGCTGAAGAAGTCTACTCTGACCCTGTACCTCAGAGATGGGGCCACAGGCCCTGCTACAATAATCTTTCCTGCATCTTGCATGTTGTAAAACTAGCTGGCTTCAAGCCAACCTGGGAGAACTTACCTGCAGCACAGGGCTATTGTCAAAGTTATAGGCACTGGGCCTTCCTTCCAGGGTAGAAAAAGCCACGTTGCCCCCGGTGAGGGGAGAAATGTCACTGAACTCATCAGTACACAAGGCCTGCTGCTCGTCCCCTCCTGTCCTGATGAAGCCGCGGTTTGCCTTCAAGTAGGTGTTCTCGCAGGAACCACTGTAGTACTGGTAAGGAATCCAGGGCCCGTCTTCCCGCGTGCGCTTGTAAATGGCAAAGCTCTCTGGGCGGCTGGTGTGGAACTTGAGACGCACATAGGTGATGTCAAAAGCTTTCCCTGTGGGACAAACACATCAAAGGTCGTAAGTTATATGTATGAAGCAAAAAAAATCCCCTCTATTCCCACCTAAGTTTGGAACTTGACAAAAGATACAAATCACCTTATACACATTAAATTAAGAAGACATCAGAACAAACAGCATATTAGTTGTGTCCAACAGCTATTCTAAAACAGGAAACTACCTATTTTCCCATAAAATGACAAATTACAGTTGGGTCCGTAAGTGGGCTCATAAAGGCCTGTTCGTGACATGCATTGTGGAAATTTTAAGTGCAATGAAATCTGGCGGCATATGTTAGTACTGTACTTATACTATTAATTAAAACTAAAATGGAATAAAAAGCACATTTATTCTTAATGCTGGTACTTCAGCAAAAGCTTAAATAAAAGATACAAAAGTAAATATATGCTGACTTTCTAAATGGATCTCCAGGAACTTCAAGACTTTGGAAAAAACCTCATTCTCTATTAACTGTAGCATCACTTCTGACGCAGGAAGAATATCATCAGCACTATTCTTCTACTTATCTACCAAGTTAAGATACAGACATTTGAAGAAGGGAGAAAGACAGTGTTTGCAAGATGTAGCAGGGAGTAGAATAAGAAAGAGGAAAAAAAATTTCCTTCAGTAGATGAACAATGAAATGGGGGGAAAAAGAGAAGGGAGAAAGGAGGTTTAAAGAGGTTGTTTGAATATGTTCAAAAGAGAATATATGAGAAATGAACTCTGAGCAGAGAGGAAAAGAGAGTGGTCGCTGGGGAAGACAGTTCCCTGCAAAAGCAGAGTATGGTCTTATGGTCAGGATGGCTTGGTTGCCAGCCAGTATAAGTTTTCACATGAGTAAAAGAAATAATCACCATTCAGCCACACATTGGGTCTTGCCATCTCTAACAATATCTATACTTTCCTACTTCTGTTGTTATAGTGAAGATCACAGTTTGGTCAACAAGCATTTGTTGGGCACTACTCTGTGCTTGGCTCTGTGCTACATAAATCGGGGGAGAGAATTGTTAGACACAGGGATCCTTGTACTCAAGGAGCTTACAGTTTTTTCTCCCTAAGCCAATTAACTCAAGAACCATCCTAACTCTTTCCTACAAAACCCACAGAACAGCAACTTCTGTGCTCTCAGAAGTGTTGAGAAGAGACTTCTGCCACTCTCAGTTCCTCATACCCACTAGTCCCTGAGACAAGAAGCGATTCCTCATGTGTGGCCTGGACTCTGCTTTGTCTCTCTCTGGCTGCTGGCCGGAGTTCCCCTCTCTCCCCTCCTGCACTCAGTGCAATACAGTGGGGTTCTGCCTCGATATGGGGTGCAGCCTGCTGCTGTCCTGCTGCTGGATCTGGGACTAAGTGGATGAAGTCAATTCAGGGAGGAAAAGAGCAGAAAGTCCATGCAAGCTATGTGTCCAGGCCACATTCTTCAACTGAGCGTTCACTATAATAAAACTGATAGGATGAGCCATATCTGACTATTTCTCAACTGGCCCAGATCTTAGAAGAGGTTGGATTAACTGTCCCCCACATACATGAGACATACTTGGCACACACACAAGCTTCAACACAAAGTCATGTGGCATGACGGAAAGAACACAGGACTGGTCATTTTGAGACCTGAGTTCAGGTCCTAACTCCCTCCTTTATTAACCATATGATTTCTGCTCTGCCATTTTCTCTTTGTAAAAATGATGATAATCCCTGCCCTACCTACTTCGAAAGCTGTTGGAAGGTCAAACTAAGATCCACACATGCTTGACTATTATAAAACTATATAACAATATAAGGCATTACAACAATAGGGTTTATAAAGAAAATTCCTGAACTAGGATTCTGAATATGTTCACACAAAAGGTCCTGACTGTTCCTGGTACAGTACAAATATGAATATTCTACCTAGGATGCAGGCATTTTGCCTAGATTCAGGTCACACAAATACAGTTTACATATCTCCTGTTAAAAGAATGCAAGTTTTACCTGCATCTCTTCATTGTGTCAAAAATGTCAAGATGTCACCTTTGAATAAGGGCAAGGTTATAGTACAGTTATCTGTGGCATTCCAGAGACTATCTAAGACATTCCAAAATGGTTAAATAATATGGTTTTACTCATGAGTAGGTGGCCTGGACTGTTCAAAGGCTCACTCACTGGTCTGTGGATTACAGATTATCCTTGCTTCTCTATGTTCTCTCTAGCTTTCTGATATCTCATTGTTCTTTAGCAGCCCAACAATAGCAGACTGGGCCAAAGGACAGAAGGTAAAATAAATCAAGCCATCCTATGTTTCAATCAACATCTGTACTACAGAGCCATACTCTGAAAGAATCAGGCAAATGTCTATTGCTGCAGCCACAGACACAGAGCCATAAGTAGCAAAATGTCCAGAAAGCAATTACACTAGCATTAAACTCGGATGCAGTCTACTTACAGGTGCTGGCCTGGCCTTGCTGGCATTCAGCTTCATTTGCAGGGCCACCTTTTTCATGCCAACCTACAGCCACAGCTGGAAATAAGGGAGCTCTGTGGCAGTCTGTATGGAGGTTCACATACCTCCATGACACGAGAGCCATGTGCACTGCCCTCAGTTGCAGTCAGCCCCACAGTGCATATGGATAACTACAATTTACAAATCATCATGAGACAATTCCATGACAGGGGAAGGGCATCATGTTTGGAAAGCATGGAGAAGGTCACCTAACCCAGATCTGTGAGTTCAAGAAATGCTTCCTAGAGGAAGTGGTATCTAAGTCCAAGACATGAGGAATGCTTAGAATGAGCTAACCAAACAGGCACCCATAGTCCAGGCATGTATGAAATGCCATGTATGAAAGCCCAGAGAACACAGAGGAGTGCTCACTGGAGGAATTAGAGTTGTCTAGGGTAGCTAGAACTAGAGAAGTGGCTGGAGATGAGGCAAACAAGAAGCAGAGTACACCAGGCTACAGTCATGTTAAGGAGCAACTTGAGCTTAAGTGCAATGGCCAGCCACTGTAGGCTTTAAACCAGGAAATACATAATCAGGTTTGATTTTTAGGAAGATTAGCATGGAGATTAGGCTGGAAAGGACAGGAACGAAGACAGGGAGGTCAAGAAGATGTGGCAATAATCAGGAGAGACAAAAAAGGCTGAACTATGACTGGGAACAGAGGAATGGAGAGCAATGAATGGATCTGAGTGAGGTGTAGGAAGCCGTTATCACTAGTAACTTGGTAACTGACGCACTGCAAGGGTGACTGGGAGCTGTTCTCAAAGTCTCCTCTACTTGTACCTGTTAGTACCCTGTTTCATTGTCAAAGCTGCTTTTTCCCATTCCATGAGTGGGAGGATTAAGAATAACATTCAGTTTTCTAGTTTAAAATGAACCAGGTGGAGGGTAGTACCATTCACCAAAATAGAGAACAGAGGAGGGTGTGCAGGACTGGAGGTGGTGGCAGGGGCAGGGTGCAAAGATGAATTCAGTTTCAGATATGCTAGTTTCGAGATGCCTGCAAGTCATCTAGACGAGGAAATGTCTGTAGGGAGCTGGATGTGAGCAGTCTGAAGGGCCAAGAGAGATGTGTGAGTTAGAGGGAGAGTCTTGGGACTCACTATGTAGATGGACACTGGAGACTTGAGTACAGATGAAGCCCATGGGGCAAGACTGTTGCGTGAGAGCCTGACTTCTGAGACCACCCTGAGGAGCACAAACATTCACAGCACACACAGCGGGAGATGACAGTAGGCTATGAAGGGGCAGCCAGCAGGAGGAGGGCAAGTAGAGAATAAAAATGTCACAGAAGCCCAGGAAAGGGGCTTTTCAGGAGGGAGGAGTCAACAGGGTTCAAATCTGCTAGGAGAGTGCTAGGTAAGATAATGACTAAGAAGTGTCCATCCACTTCAAGTCACAGAGGTCATGGCTGCACCAAAAGCAGTTCCAGGGGCAGGATGGCAATGGTTGGAATTGACAATGGGCCGGGTATGGTGGCTCATGCCTGGAATTCCAGCATTTTGGGAGGCTGAGGCAGGCAGATCACTTGAGATCAGGAGTTCAAGATTAGCCTGGCCAACATGGTGAAACCCCATCTCTACTAAAAATACAAAAAATTAGCCAGGTGTGGTGATACGTGCCTGTAATCCCAGCTATTCAGAAGGCTGAGATGGGAGAATCGCTGGAACCCAGGAGGCGGAGGTTGCAGTGAGCCAAGGTTGTGCCACTGTACTCCAGCC